TGAGATATCAAAAAAGTACTCCAGAGTGTTGTTCAGCATGGGGGTGAGTAGAAAATGAAGGCTAATCATGTTTTGGGTGTACTACTCCTTTAAGCACTACAATCAGACTCCACGCATCTAGAGAACAGCATGCACTGTGCTCCTTGTGCAACATGAGCTGGAGAGCAAAGCACATAACTCCAAATTGTGCATATAAGCCATTTGATTGGAGACAAAGGAAAGCAGTTATTTATTCAGGCTAAGTGTGAAACTTAAAACAAATTTTCAGAGTGCAGTGAAAGAAAAGCCCTGGCATTGTTCAGCAATGACAAAAGGAGAAGTAGGAGGCGCATCTCGACTCAAGTTCAAAGCCTCATTGTAATCATCTCAGTGATCAGAAAAAAAAACAAAAAACAACAATCGTGGATTATGTGTTCATGTCTCCTTCTGAATGCTCTTTTGTTCTGCACCAGAACAAAACCGTTGTTCGGGAAAGGCATGCTTGGTAGAGGGATGCATCTGTACAGACAACCTTGTCACCTGCGCCATCATGTAGGTGTGTATGCATATATATATATATATATATATATATATATATATATATATATATAAAACAGCTATATATGGTAATCAAACCCTTGATTGCAGATGGTTCCTTGCGCCTAAGGATAACTAAGTTTATGACACAGCTCTGTGTCTGACTGACTTTAAACAGAGAGGATATATTTTTCTAATTTGACCCCAATAACAAAATGAATCATGGAGATCCAGGAGAACATAAGTTTAAATACCTCCCTTAGGCTGCCATTAATTCAGTTTGGGACAGCCCTCAGGACGCTAATCCTTTTTCTGTAAAGGAATGCTATGATGCTATGCTACAGATTAAACCTTGTCTCATACCAGCAGCAATGATCCAAGGATCTACTCCCACTTTGGAGTTTTCAGGCAAGACGCTGATCAGCCAGTCCTCCTGTGATGGCGTCTCCTTCAGTCCTGAACATATTTAAACACAGTTCATCACACACCATTGAATTATAAGCTAAGGACAGCTACTCAGAGGTTTAAATAGCGGCACCAATTTAACCCTTTAAAGCCTGGACCATGAAATAATGGATCGGAAATTTTGTCATTGAACTTTGTGACAAATGAAAATGGAAAAAAAGAAGCGTTTTGTATAACTTAAATTGGGTCATTTATTTGCATCAATTTTGATATATTAGACATTTCTGTTTAATCTTTTATACATTTTCTGTTCACAAAATGTGTCTGATTGTGTAACTCTTTTAAGAACAAAAATATCACACTGATAATGCACACGTCTCAAAAAAAAAAACTCAGGTGCCAAATATGATACGCTTGGCTTTAAAGGGTTAAATGTTAGTTTTTCTAGCTTGGGTTTTAGGTTTTTTGAAATATTGTTTCACATTAATTAAACCCTACATTGTTTAACACTAACTAGGACCTCACCCATCTTCATAAGAGTCCAGTTGCTGTCCATCTGCTGGCTGGCCTGGAGGAAATACCTCCCGTCCGTCCACATGGCAGCATGCTGCTCTGTGATAATGGCTGTTCCTGAATAATAAAGTAAACAAAACAACTTCTCACAGGGTGTCTGTTTAACAGCTGATGTTTCAGCGCAATAACATATAAGGTCATATTAAGTTTGACTTGTTCTGAGGTGCCACATCACACTGCGTTGCCTCAGTGTCTATGGTTACTGGGGAGAATGACCAGTTTGAGAGCAAGGGAGCTCGTCTTCGCTTCAGTACAAAAGATTATTGTTGCTCAGTGGAAGGTGAGGATCGTCCCAAGGAAAACAGAGCAGTTTTTAACATAATCCAACACTTACATCAGGGGCTCCATTCAGTAAAATAAAGATGATATGATATACTAAACCTGAAAGGCTTTCTAAACATGCTGTGTCAATAGACTGAAAGATAAGCAGCAGTTAAGAATGACTTTACTACATAAGAGCAAAACATACCTGCAGAACCATTGAATCCGCAGATATATTCCCGCCTGCAGTCACAAGGAGCAATGTATTCACTCTGGAAGACAAACAGGCACAGACCAGCTTCATTGACAGACAGTGGGAACAGACTAATGGACCTTTGTGTCTCACATTTGCTTTTTCTATTACTGCCATGTACTTAAAGGTTAATCAACAGAACATATGATATCATAAAATAAAAAAAATGATATAAGATCACATTTCAGCATTTTTTTTCTTACATAGCGTTTTAATTTGTTCAAGGAAATGAAAAGTCGTGAGAATGTAATGCTCTCTGTAGTCCAAAGCGCCCACAAGCTAACGTTTAACTATCTGGATCTAGGCTGCCTCTTTCTAGCGATGTGGACTTTTTCAGCGGTTTCCAAAAAGAAGATGAAGGACATCTGATGACAGTTTAAGTAAACAAACCTACAACCAAACAAAAAACATTGAAGTCAGGGGTTAGAAAGTGGCAGAACAAAAACATTTTTAAGAGGTACGAATACTTTTGCAGGACACTGAATAAGCTGCTATTCTACTTGTAGAACTTTAGCTTGTCCTGGATGGGTATTCAGAACTCGTACTCCCACTGTAAACAGTGTTAGTGAAGCGCTGCTCTCCCTCTGCAGCTGCAGCCACCGATGAGTTACAGAAACTTCGATGCAGAGTTTTTCAATTAGCGTGAAAATATCTGAGATTTAGATGCTGGCCAATAAAATTTAAAATTAGCTTTTTTTTTATATCGACCTGATATCTGATATTGACATCAGATCGGGACATCACTAATAAATAATATGCACGATTTGGACTTACCTGATGTGCATCTCCAGATGGTACTATGTAGGCATGGATCGGCTCTGAGAAATATTTACAGTTCCTCATTGTCTGCCGAAGTAGCCGCAGAAGCTCCCCTGTGATCTTTGGAGACATGGCTGATTCTGCATTACAAAAAAAAAGAAAAACAATCAACAGTAAAGCGTTTTATAAGTACACTTTTTGACTTTAAAAAGTAGTTCAGATGGGAGAGCTCCAGCGCTGTCATCCTTAATCAGATGTTACTTATGGCCTACATATTACCTGACTTTTGCGAAGCCATTTCCACTGCAGGTTAACACAAATGGACTGACTACATGGAGCTCAAAGTCACAGACCACACCTGGATCTTTAACCTGCCGTAATCTGCCAATTCAGCAGCTATGATGACAGTCGGGGTTAAACATTAAAGTTCTGCACATTAAAGTTTTTTTCCTAAAAGCTACATCTTTATAAATGAGAAAATCCATCAAATATGCAATACAAATATAAATGTAAGTATTTATTTCAGTTTATATTCATGAATTAAAACTCTTCTGTAGATTGCTCACAGTTACAATGAAAAAAATAGAAAAAAAAATAGAAAAAATGAAAAAAGTATATTTATTCTTTAAGTGTATTACAGAAACCTAAAATTAGGCTTTCCTTAAAATTTTTAAATCCGGTTCTTTTTATTTATTTATTTGGAATTATTATGTTATGGTCACCAGTGATGGAGGGGGACTGCCAGTGACATCCCACAAAAGGTTTATTGCTTAGGCAGGAAATAGTTAATAAAGTGCTACATTCAAGGAAAATAATGGAAAGCGTGGTGGAGGGCCAAAATTTAAGAGGATTATGAAGCTGGAAGAAGAAAACTCACCAGACTAAACAAAGCAGTGAGGCGCTATCAAAGCAACCACAGCTTCATTAATGCTTCAGCTGTGCCACAGGCTGATCACCGTCATTCCTTGCTATTTATACTGTAGAACACCCAAAAAAGGAGTCCTGACCTGATTTTAGAATTAAAAATCAACCCATTCATGTATCAAATGTTCTCCTTCCACCTTACTTACCATGAATATGATTGGATACAGCATTCAGCTGACAGCAATGGGTTTCTATAGTTTACACTACTTGTGGGGGATCATTGGCTGTCTGATTCCCCCCACAAGTATAGACTCTAACTTTACATCTATGTCTATAAATACATTAGGGCTGCAACTAATGATTATTTTACAAATCGATTAATCTGTTGATTATTTTTTCGATTAATCGACTAATAATCGGACAGAAAAAGGTTCCTTAAGTTCTGGACATTAACAGACGAAAAAGTGTTTTTTAATCTTAACTGCAAAATGTTTACATATTGCTTTATAATTTTGATATAATTAGTGCTCTAATTGGGTTTCTCAGCTAAACTGATGTTTTAGAGTCTTTATTCTCCATTTAACAATTAATGGATTAGTAAAGTAGTTAGTTAGTTGACGATTATTTCAATAATTGATTAATCCAATTAATTGTTTCAGCTCTGAAACACATCATTTCTTTTGTAATATTGTTAATGTCAGAGAAAAAGATATGTTGTTTTTCATGATATAGATTGGATAGCTGAAATGAATCGACAGTAGAGTAAAGGACTCCCCAAATTCATTGTTATAAGAGATTGTTTTCTTATTACCACCTCCACGTCAACTGATGGAAGGCACACCTCAATGTAAAAAGAAACCTACAAATCAACCAATCAGGTCTCAGTGTTGTTCATCGCCGAGCTCTTCTATTGGCTAAAAGCTCAGAGTGCGATTATTGTTTACAAGTTCATATATAAGAAGAAAAACCATTCCAAACCAGTTTGTAATGATAGAGGTATTACTATTAATATTTAAGACACTAAATATGCAATCCGTTGAGGCGCTTACAAATAAAAATACTAAAGCCTTGTAAGCGTTTTTTTCCCTTCTTTCTTGTGCAGTCGTGAGTTAATCAACAGGCCGATGATAGCAGCTCATTTATGAATTGCAGAGTGGGTGTGGTTCGTTTGGGTGCAGTAAAAATCTCTACGTTTCTACAAATTAATCAGACTATTTTATATCCTTTTTCTTTAAACTGCTTAAAAGATGGCTGTACATCGCAGAGCCGTTTATAACCGATCTGGGAATAGTTGCCGTCCGCAGCTTTTTTCTCTGCAAACCGTCGCTATCTAAACCACCCCACAGACCGCCAGATAAACACTTCATACACACCCGCACTTCCGCCTTTCAAATGTAGCTCCTGGGAAAAAAAAAATCGAAGCGTGTTTTTGTTTACCAGCTCGGACCTTGTGTCTATTTATTAAACAAGGAGGCTGCCATGTCCTAATGACGTCACTGGTCACATGACCGTAGCCTCCGCCAATAGGCGCGGAGGGATCCAGACTCGCCTCTTCCTCTGTGAAAACTACAAACCACTACCAGATCAGTTTGCTATGGAGTGATTTTTCTGCAAAAAAGTTGCGTACAAAAATGCACGTTGCACACACATAAAGCATATTGCAAATGAATAAAGCTTGTTTCACACAAACAAATCTTATCACTCACAAATAAACATGTTGCACTCAAATAAATCTTATTGTTCACAAATAAAACTCTCATCTAATGTCACACACAAATAAAACTTTTTTTTCAAACTGTCCTTAAATGTTGCACACACACAAAAATTTGTTTTACAAACCGGACTCTAACATTGCACTGAAAATGTAATTTGTAAATTGTCCCCGAGTACAAATCGATCTCTGCTCGCATACAAAACAGCCTCTCCTCGCATACGAGACAATTCTTCACACTCCACGGTAAGTTTGTGCCAAAAGTCACGCGATACACGGAGAATTGTCATTCTGACTAACCGACAGCAGGAGGCACCATACAATCAAAACAACTGAAATGTGCCGGTGTTACGTTGAGCTGCGTTTCCCCATCAGAGACAGTTTCCCCTGCCTCTCTGCACAGAGCAGGCGGAATGATTCATTTTTAGTGCAATGTTAGAGTCCGGTTTGTAAAACTAATTTTTGTGTGTGCAACATTTAAGGACAGTTTAAAAAAAAGTTTAATTTGAGTGTGACATTAGATGAGAGTTTGTCACACAAGTTTTATTTGTGAACAATAAGATTTATTTGAGTGCAACATGTTTATTTGTGAGTGATAAGATTTGTTTGTGTGAAAAATGCTTTATGCATTTGCAACATGCTTTATGTGTGCGCGCAACGTGCATTTTTGTACACGTTTTGGCAGAAAAATCACTCCGTATTTTTCACATTAAACTTAAACTATTTGAAGCCCAGTGATCATTATCAGGATTTTAATTTTTAGACATTAATGTATATGAATTTTTCAGATCAAGATTTAGATGATTAAAAAGTAATAGTTGGATTTATAATAGAAGTAGGCTTAGTTTAATCCAGATTACTTTTGGAAAATGCAATGATAATTTTAGAGTAACCATTTGCTTTTCTTCTGAAATATGTTTAAATTCTAAAAAGGAATTATATTTTAAAAAGTTGCTTCCTATACCACCTTGTCCTTACTAGAACGAAAATGTCAAAAGTATTGCTTTAACGTTGTACTATTCACCAATTCTTTGCATTATCGTATCTTTATCCTGCTTTTTATTACTCTTTGGTGTGTTTTCTTTGGGTATTCTTTTTTTCACTTAAGAAAACAAAGAAATAAAATTGCTTAAGAACATATTTTTCAAAACTTGAGTTTCATCACCCTAAAACCTAATAAGTAGTTATCTAGTAGTAGTTTTTAATGCTGTCATCTATTGTAACATTCAAATATCACATATCATCAGTGCTTGCAGAATTTATTTTTTTGCTTCTATACTTTGATACAAATTAGCAACGGAATCCTGAAATGTTTATTTTATAAAAGTCATTTTGTTTACTTTATCTTATAATACTGACATAAGAAATTGCTTAGGATAATAACAATGATATGTTTAAAACTAAAATTCAGTAGTATAACTGGGGATTAAATAAACTAATAACTGTAAAGACCATGAATATTATTTTAAAGCATCCATCACCTTTCAGAGATTGGAAACAGAGGTAATCAACCATAGTAAAACTTCCCATTGATGGATTACAGTAACTTCTCAAATAAAATGGAACTTTTACAAAATGAGCCTTTTTGAAGAAACAAATGTGTAGATTCTTAGTTTTTTGTTAAATGTATTTCTCTCTTGCAAAATAGATTTGTAATCTCAGTAAACCTTAACTGCTCAAATAAAGTTTACAAGTTGTTTGTTGTTACCAACATTCGTTCACTGTGTAAACTAGGCCTCTGATGCTTAGATTCCATTCCAAGTATTTGTATCTGTATCTGCATTTGTATCTGCCTTTTTTATCTCATCAAATTATGCTTTTTATTTCGTTAAGTTTGAGGGAAAACATACAATTTGAGATTTTTATTGAAAAATGTAAAGCTTTTCCAACATTTCACATTAAAATACAAACAAAACATTACATCTTGCCCAGATGAACAACATTAAGTACCTAAAGATGACATTTATACAAAAAAAAGACGTAAGCAGATATACCAACTAATTTCTAACATGTTTTTCAACAAAAAAACCTGGAAGATCTTCATTTGGACATAAAGTTTGTACAAAGTTGGACATTATTTGCTCAATGACCACTGTGACATTTGGTAAGTGACAATTCTGATTCACAGCTTTACATCAGGAGAACTCATGTGTTCCTATTGAGTATAGCACAGTACAGCCAGGACTCAGATCTAAGAAGATGCTGCAGATGGCAGCAGGAAGGAGGCGGCAAACATCAGCAAGAGTGTGAAGATTCCTGGTAACACCAGCTGTCCTCCAGAACTTCCTGCAGAAATCAGACAGGAACATACAGGTTAAATAGGAGAATAATAAAAGGTCTTAAGCTGCAGTTATTTATCAAGTAAGGAGGGGATTCCTAGATTAGATTTCCTTAAATGAATACCTTTTATACACTCAAACTACTTAGATGTTACTTTTTCTTATTGTTAATTATATAATTATTTTATTTTAGACATAAAAAAGAGGAAGACTAGAGTCTTTTTTGTTTTTTTGAAAAACTTACAGCAGGATGCATAGTTTTCATATTTTAGAACAGTCTCCAGCAGCATCTATATCACTGTCTCCTCATAATCTAAGCCACACTTTACTTCCTCTTTCAGTTTGTTTTAGTCAGACTCTCAACAGATAACAGCCCAGATCAAAGCAGAATAATTCACAGTGACCTCCTGAGAACAGATAACATTCACTCAAATGGTCCAATTTCAAAACGGCAGCATTAAAAAGGTTTATCAGAGGTCAATGAAGGAGTTACGTTAAATAAAGATCAGTACATGTTATCTTAACTTTGTGTAACAGACAAAAATGGAAACAACATCTGGAATAATAAAGTATCTAAGCTTGAATTATAAAACACTTCTTTTTGCCATATAAGGTACTTAACAAAAATATGGTATGTTATTATAAGGGAATATCTTGTAATTACAGCCAAACCAAGTGGATCTAACAGTATTTGAAATATTTTTTTTATGTTCAATCAGAAGAGCAGTGTTATTACCTAAGATTTACCCCTTTAGATTACTTTATTGAAGTACAAACAGGGCGTGAAATATAAACTGACACTTTAAGAGGAGTAAAACAAAGATTAAAGTGTGATACTCTTATATCTACACTCATCTATATTCATTGGTCTAGCCTCGGATAATGTTTTAACACTTTTCTTACTGAAAAATCAAACAACTCACTTTCATAAAAGTTCTGCACAAAACCTCAGTAATGAGACACGTTTAGTTTTTTTTAAAACTGGTTTCTGATATCATAAAATTAAAGGTCATTCTTGCACCAGTGAGTCGTTTATATGAGAGTTATTGTTGAATGTTTCCTCCTCTTTTTTTTTATTAAAGGTCTCTGACATGAACCTGTAAAATGCCAGGAAGTTTATAACAACCCGGAATCATCCGTTGATAAGGTATCCAAATACTCCCCCGCATAGATGTGAAGGCAAAAGTTGAAAATAAGAAGCAGGACTTACTTTCACATTCAGCACTCTCTTTGAACGGCCCCATCTTCTCACTCGCTTTGACAGAATTAAGGAGGTCCGCACTGACCTCCCCTTTAAAACACACAGTAATATAAAATGTTAATATTACTATTAAGATTTTCAACAAAAAACAAAAATTATAAAAAAAACAGAATTTTTCTAATGAATAATAACTGTAGCAAGATGAAAGCCCACCTTCATGTTTATATGGGCAACTTATAGACTCACATCATTTATAAATGAAAAAGGGAAACATCTATAGTGTTAAGAATACTAACCTGCAACTTTTACTTGTGCTTCTATAATGCTTTTGAGCAGAATAAAAAAAGGGGTTGGGGGGTTCATGACTCTCACTCTGGTAAACTTTTCCCCTTGTGAGGGTATAGTTACCGCTCCTGTGCTACACTGTTTTAAACCTCTGCACAGATACCCCTCTGTTCCCCCCCGGGACAGACAATGAGATGCACAGACACTCGATCCCGGCGTCAGGTTCCCCGAACAGTTTTCTAAGAATTTCTAAAGATTCTTCAATGCCTGTAATTGTTCATTGTCCTAATATTGGGACTTACAAGTTGTCCAGTTCAGTGTTAGAAGCCATTATTCACTACAACAACCGACAAAATTCTCAGACAAAATAGCACACATTCCGAGTTAAAATAAGGAAACATAATCCTAAATTTTGCTATTTCCACATTAAAATGTTTTCACATTGTTACTTTCCATGCAGTTTATGTAAACATTTATTTTATTTCCTTTGGCTGCTAAAAAGTTTTCAGTTCAGGTTTCAGAGATTACACACTTTTTTGTCGTTGACTGGTTGCTTAGTGAAAAATGACAGCAGCTTGATGCTTTGAGTCAGCACATGTTGACGTGGTTACATCACTAGACCACAGTTAACCTCCTGCAAACATGAGCTGCAAAGATTCCCGCAGTTCATAAAGACTATAATAACATCACATTGTGACTTATCTGAGATCTATTTAAACCATTATTACGAGCTTGGCTTTTTTGGTTTAAATTAATTTTACAGTGAGGTGCAAAATCGTATTTTTCTTTAATATTTTGTCACATGTCAATTGCACACTTCAGTGTTTTATTTTATGTGATCAACCTACTCGAAAGCAGGGAACTGTTAAAAAGTCAAATATAAATCTAAAAATCTGGCAACCTTAGTATTTTAATGCCCTTTATTCCAATAACCTAAATAAAACAACTTGGCAACAGCTCACATAAGATGCTGATGAAGGTTCTCAGTAACATAAGATGTTCCTTATTTATTAAGCAGAGTTCAGCT